AAAATGGTTTTATCGCTTAAAAATGATGATTGAAGTTGGTTTTATTATTGTTTACTACTTTCAGGGTAATTTTTCGTACTATTGTCTTTATTTGGTTATGTTTCTGAGGTAAAACGTCCAGTATTTCTCCCCAGCACGTAATTAGTTTGGTTTTAGTGCCATTTTAAGTTTTAAGTTAAGCTACTTTGACTTTCTAAAAATTTATAAAAATATGTTTCCTTCAAAGTTGATGCCTTGTCCTTCAAACACAAACGACTAAACCTCTATTAGTAGAAACAAACCTATGCCTCGGGAAACCAACTAATTCAATTTTACCGATGTAAGTAAAAAAAAATAAATTACCCGGTATTTTACCGTAAATTACATGCAATTTTACATGTAAAATTACCGGACTTAAAACCCTACCCGGGACGCCCATGATGCGCGAGCTGGACGCCCGCCTGGTCCGCCGCGACCCCGCGCTGCGCCGCCTCCTCGGCGCGCCCATGCTGCCCGACGTGGTGCGGGTCGTGGCGCACCGCCACGCACAGAGAAAGGTCAGTCAGGTTATGGGCCCCTGTTTCCCCTTTCGTGTGTCGGGTCGGGACACCCTACGCCTCCCCTGCCTCCCAACGTGTTATACCATTCGTTACTCGTTCATATTGCATGCGCTTGCATGCCGCCGCGGAGCGCGCCCGCACGGAGTGGCGTTGGGCTCGTCACTCTTCTGCCCCCCCCTTTTTTCCTCGCGCTACTGCATTTCCTCTCTGCTTCTCCTTCCCTCCCTCTCCTCGTCCCTCCCATCCTGCAATGCCCGGCGCGTGTACTCCACGATCCGGTTGTGCTTTCTCCACCTCGGCGTTACCACCCGTCCTCGCACGCTGCCGATGCTGCTCCGTTAACGTGACCGACACACACTCCCCTCCCGCCCCTCTCCTTTTGTTTCTCTCGCTCGATCCATCTGGCGTCAGTAAAGCTTCTGGACGCACCTCAATTCGTTCTATCACGGCAGGCAGGGAGCAGGGCACCGCACCCTCGCCCTCCTTCTCGCCGGCGTCCGCTTAACCCTTCGCCGGGGGGTGTCCAGCTGCTGGCTGCACCTGTAAGACACAGAACTGAGGGGGCTCGGCTCAATCCAAGGCGATATACTAACGAATGTAAAGGTCCCCGTCTCTTGTGTGTGGTCTAATAATATGACACAAAGGAAATGGGCGAACAATGCGGCGCGCCGGCGGCAAGGTCCGGGTCCGGGTGGAGGGAGTGCCTTGGAGATAGACAGGGGAAGGGGTGAAGGGCAAGTCGACAGTCTCCTTCTCCAGCGCATTCGCGCACCGCTCGCCATCCCCATGGGAAAATCTCATTGCATCCACGTGGAATCTAAGGTCAATTTCTATCTATCTACGTGATTACGTGATTTCTACGTCGAGTCGACGTGAATTACATAGTTTCACGTGTAATCAGCGTCGCATCTACGTGGATAGGGATACGTGGACGTCATTTGACATGGGGATGGGGATATGCCACAATTATTTCACTCAGCTCAGTGCTGCCGATCTGCCCGGCGCGCACTGCGGGCGCCCTCGGGGCCTGGTCCTGGTGGCCGGGATCAGCTTCCCTTGTTAGTACACTCCGCGCTGCTGCAAGCTGTGACGTAGCACCACGCCGGCGGCGGGCGGGGAGCGCGGCGGGGGCGCGGCGTGACGGCGGGGCGCACTCGTCTGTGACGAGAACTCCGGGAGGAACGCGGAGCGGGCGGGGGCCGCGGGGCCCCGGAGCGCGGCTCCCTGCGGCCTCAGTGCCCGCCACATCGCGGTCCTGGCTGGACGTCCAGCCTTGCGCGAGCGTTCTCGCGGCCAGCGTGAGCTCGTCGTGCTCGTTGTGATCGTCTCCCGCGGAGCAGCCCACCCGTGCGTGCGGCTTGGACCCTTCCCTCTACCTTGATTATACTAGTGTCGAGGAACGCCCGAGTTGTCCGGGAGTCGTGCCCGACGTACGGGGCCAGGAGCTGGGTGCTGCTGAACGCACGCGCAGCCGCGGAGTGGGGTGTCCACGGGCGCAGCGGGCGAGGCCCTATACACTCGTGGAGAAAACGGCAAAAATTGACGGGAAAGGAATCCTCCAATTTCCTCGCCTGTCGCTTGCACAATGCCCCGGTGTTGCTGCTCGCGCCGCTAGGGCCCGGGCGGCGTGGCGTGGCCGCGCGATTGGTCATGGCTCCAGCTGGGCTGTTCGGCGCCGCGGCTCGCTGGCACGGCGACGCACTGCCGCCCGCCCTCTGACGCGTGCCACCGCCATGGGCATGACTACCGCCCCCGGCGCCATGGGCCTCATGACGGAGGCCATGAGCGCGGGCCCCGCCAGCCTCGGCCACAGCCTCCCCACGCGGCGCCACTACAAGAAGGACACGCGCTTCCTGCTCGACCTGTACCACCTCACCTACGACGACCACGAGAGCCTGGACACGCTGGACGACCTCAGTACCGTGGGTTTACTTTCCTCTTCTAGACCCGTCGGAGATGGGAGCAGCCGCGGGGAGCACTGCGATGCTGTTCAAAACACGCGCGTTTTTGAAGGGGTGGCGGTGGGAAGGAAAGTGGGGTGGGGGTAGAGTTTTCTGTCTGGTGGGGTGGGGGATATACGACGATTGGCTTTTGTTCTCTCATCTGTGAAATGTTTATTGGCTGAGTGCCGATTAGGATCCGCAACCAGATTTAGATTAATCGAAACTAAAGGACACGAGGCCATCATTCGGGATCGCCCCATGAAGCTTTTCCATTGTTGACACTATCATAGACGAATTTTTTAAAAAATAAAACATGGTTTAGTCTATGTCCGTTGCCTTTTATTTGTATCAGCACTTAAGTCATATTGTGTTGTATCCTCTCTTTCGGCAATTTTTCCACTCTGAAATCTTTTATGTCAACGAAATGTGAGTTGTTCTTATATTTCGTAATGTTGACATCACTCCGCGAAAACTAATCGTTTGCCAAATGTTAAACGTCATATAAAACAAAATTTTTGAAAAACTGAACCCTCTACGTCCCAGGCGGAGCAAAGAAAACGAATTGGAAATGATATATGCGAATTTAAACGTCGATTTTACGGAAAACTAACTTTTTTATGATTGTCAAAATGTGAAGTATCATTTCATAATGTTTCTCAAACTGATTTAGTGAAGGCGTGTTCCAATGATAAAAAAAGTTTTCAGGAACAGAATCAGACCAGACGGACCATAACATTGCACCCAGACGCAAGAAATTGACTGACCAACATTCCTGACTTTCATTACATATCTTCATCATTGACAAGCACCGCGCGGCAAGAACACTAGAACTCTATTGTTCTTGCCGCGCGGAGCGCAACTTAGAAAATAACATCGATTCCACATTCACATTCAGATGCCGCACTACAGCCTTCTAAGTGCTTGAACTTCGGCTAGTGTTTGTCTCATAGTGGTCATGTCTATACGGGGATATTTTGTCTCTTCAGAAAGAAAATTTTGTATTTTGAGTCACATTCAAACGTGACATGTGAAATCCGTTTATGACCTGCAATCCTAAGACTGAATCATTTCCCTAAGTGCCATACAGAACTCTGGTTGTCTTTATTCTCACACACATGTGTGAATCATAACCTTTTAATTTTTCTTCCCTTTTTTATGTTTTTGTATGAAAACCGTCCATCTATTAAATATTATTATCACTGTCATATCTCGTGCCATCACAAATTTTAAAAAAATATTCTTGCTGCCATGTTTGAAAATATATTTACGAATATTAAATCTCAATCCTCTAAAATGAGTACCTCTCTATCTATTGATAATTTAAAAGAGCATACAGCTCGTCTTGCTGAGTCCATCGATGTTTTAAAGTCCAGAGTTCAATTAGGATCGAGTCGGGTTGGAGCTTACCTCTTGTCTCAAAAGGATGTTGATGTGGAGCCTGTTCGATCTGAAGAGACCTATGTTCATCTTGAGGATGTAAAAGATCCCCAAATGACTCGTTGGTTGTCCCCGGGACCTGTAGATGAAGATGAGGACAACATTGTTGATCGATTCATTCGTGTTATTACTATTGATGATGAGGAAAATGCCTGTTTGATCCAAAGCAATCCACCCCCAATGCATCATAGAAGAAGAGTGAGATCTATGTGTTTGAGCGCAGATGTATACTATGACTGACTGTCCAAACTGTAAACATTGTTATTGAAAAATGTTTCTTTTGTGTTTTTGCAGAGGCGCAATGATAGAGAAGAAATTCGCCGTCGCTTGGCTATGGGATCTGAGGATGCAGATTATTACAGCAATGACCAAAGGCCTGGGAAGAAACCAAGTCTACAAGCACGACTTCAAAGTGGTAAGTACCAAGTTTATTTAATTCTGAAGTGAACCTAAAAAAAATAATCAAATCCATTCATCAATTGTAATGTTAACTTACTGTTATGATTTTCTTTCATTATTAGGGATGAATCTTCAAATCTGTTTTATGAATGAGACCCTGTCTGATACGGAGTCTCCAGGCTCAGAGAGTGAAAATCCATCATCAGGTCCCTCAGGGCTTGCAGTAGCTGCAAAAGCTTCATCACCTAAAACTGAGTCTGCCTCTGAGAGGTTACCTGGGGGAAGTCTATCGTCAAAGGTATTGTTGTAACAATAAATTGTGATCTCTATCTGTTCTGTTAGGTAAATACCAACATTGGCGTTACTAATTCTAATTTAATTTTCTCAGCCTGCAAGACCTCTTTCATTGCCTCTTCGGCTTGATGCCAATCATGAGTGGAGAGAGCATTCATCATTGATGACAGAAGCAGACTTTTTGGCTCGACAAGCTCAGCTCCAAACAGAGGCTCGAATGGCCTTGGCTCAAGCCAAAGATATGGCACACATGCAAATGGAGATAGAACGACAGCGTCAAAATGCTTCTCCAATTACAGAGATGGTACGCCACACTCTGCAAAAGGTACAAAGACCTCATTTCAACAAGTACTTTTACCATTGGTACTAAGTACCATTTACATCCTGCGAATATGATGACATTAAAAGATTTCTCTAATTTCTTGGAAATTGCTGATTTTTTCTAGGTTGGTGTTTCATTTCCTGAAGACAGGCGGAGACTGAGCCGTCAAATTCTGACAGAAATGAACGTTGCCCAGCTTCAAGTTATTGTTAATGATCTCCACACACAAATTGAATGTAAGTGCATATTAACATTTAATGTTTCAACTACAATGGAAGCATCATTTTCATGTCTGTTTTTTTCTCTTTTCTGGAAACATTAGATTTGAATGAGAGTTTAGTTCGGTTTCTTATGGAACGAGATGATCTTCACATGGAGCAAGATTCAATGCTGGTTGACATTGAAGACCTAACCAGATATCTGTAAGTTTAAAGGAAAACAATACTGGTTTGACTGTGTCTTACAAAAGAACTGCACATACTGACATTTTCTTTTCTTTTTTCTCCTTTCTCTATCCCTATTTTAAGTGGTGCTAAGGAACAGTCCAGCAAAGCAGGGCCAAATCTTAACAACAATCTCATTAAATCCAATGGGACAAGTGGAGGGGGAAGAATGAACAGTAAAAAGTGATTCCTTTCAACAAATATGTGTGCCATGACGTGTTGATGCAGAAGAGCTCATTCTCAGTTCAGTCATCTATCAAATGTTGTATGGTGCTTGTGATATTTACACCTGCACCAGTGATCCAAGACAAACTATTCAATAATGATAATATATTAGGTGTACTTATGCTTAGGTCAAGCACATCAGCAGATAAAATAAAAATGTATGTGTAGATTTTTTTGACGATACGACAGCTTTGGTTCATCATGCTAAACCATCATTTCAATTGGATGAATCCAACTTGTTGAAGTTCTCCCGATATGTTTATGATTCCTGCCATGTGTTTGTTGCAAAGGTTTATGTATATCTTGTGGCTTTTGTACTGAGATGCGCTTTTGCAAATTCTTTATTTAGGGCAATGAAGAAGCATATTAATTAATCTATGACACTGTTTATCATGAAGTTCCACTTTTATGAAATGATTAATATTTTATTTGTTAAATGTTACATTAATTAGAATAGTGAATCATGTTGAGAAAATGCCCTTGGCTATGTATGCATATTCTCAACAATACTTTTTGGAAAATAGTTTTTAAAAAATGCTAAGGGAAGATGTTTTGACCAACTAAAGACTTTTCATGGCGAGTGGTATATGAACTTTTGAACTGAAAATTTGTTATTTGCTGAGTATAGGCCAATGAGCTTCAGTTTCTTTTTTCTCAAAATTTTAATCCTCGACATCTGTCACTGTTTGAAAGGATATTGGTGCTGTTTTTCTCTAAAATATGACAATACAGTACTAGTATCTCTGATGATCAGAAATACACTGTTCTCTTTGTGGCTTCTTTATACATTTGCCAACCACCCTTCTGATCATTTAAAGGTTTAGGTCTGCAGCTAGGAATTGAATGTAATAATGTAGATATTTGAGTTATGCTGTCACAAACTTGTCAGAAAAAGGCTTAGCCTACAATTCCTTTATTCATTTATCAACATGTATGCTAATATTTTCTTAACAAAACTCCTTGCAATTTTGTGCAGCTTAATGTGATCTACCTTAATGTTTAAAAACAATTATTGTAGATGCCAAAAGAAATTTTCTTAGTCCAGTATTACAGTATTGTAATTTCTGTTTTTTTTTCTACTTTGCAAGCCTTGTCGGCGAAATTCCCAGTTTTTTCTCTGTCAGCATGGCAACTCATTGTTTATTTATTACCATTTGTGATATTTTCTTTTAAAGTCCTTTTGCATTTCTGTTTATTCTTGTGAAGTAGAGGATTAGTTGATTGAATGAACTTGAACATACATACTATGTGATCAACTTCAAGTATACAGGATTTTAATTTTGACTTTTCAGTTCCTAAAAATAATAGCTTTTTCATCACCACTCTGCAATATTCATATTTTACCATGAGTGTTGTTAAACATCCTAAGCTGTAAGTGTTTTAAGTGTTTCACTATGTTTCAAATGGAGAAAAACATGAATTTGAAGGGTTTTTAAGATTGCTAAACTGACTATGTGTTGAGGACTGATTTTGTTGGCATATATTATCAGATGTTTTAAATTATTACTAATCCTGCACTCATGTGCCCCCATGACAAATGGAAACTGTTTTAAAGCAATGAATAATTCCTAGTAGTCACCATGCTCCTTGCTATGCATGTGTTTTCCTAATAATGCCTGACAATCATGGGTGAAAACTATGTGAATGTGAATTAACTGCTCATTTTTCATTTTGTTTGGATGTAATGAAAGTGTAGGTTCTTCTCTCTGGTCAAAATTCTTGTTTCTGATTAAGTTGTTTATCCCCCTTTTTGGTGGATTACACTTTGTTGACTACTTGCAGTTAAGATCACATTCCTTTTAAAAAGAAATATAACTATGAATGTTATCCAATTACTTGTACCTTTTTGTACAAAGTGTAAATACATTTTTACACTTTGAAGCATTCCTGGTGTTTTCCTGTGAGAAGCAAGTTGCAGTATTCTGCTGTTCCGTTTCTTTTATTTGCGTTTCTGTCTTGGTTTCATGCAATTTTCCTAAATAAAGAGAGGCACAGCTTGAACTGAAAATTATTCATAGCTTTCTTGTCCTTCTAGTTGTCTTGTCGTTTACATTTAGCTTACCATCTTGAATCTGTTGAGCAATTGTGAAGACAAGGAATGAATTTTATCATGTATTGGGATTATTAAGGCGGGACCCATTAATGGATGTTGATTATTCTTTTAAATTATATTTAGAACTTATGTACAATTCAGCAATTTATAAATTATATGAACATGTTGACTTACTTACAAGTGAGAAGTGACTTACTATTCATTAATGTTTAGCAGCTAGAGGTTCTATTGCAAAGATCATGTGATGCAACATTCCTATTTCAAAATATTGTCTGCAGCATCACTTGTTTTCCACAAATTATTAAGTGAAAATACTTTCTACTTAACACTGCTTCTCCCTCGAGCTGGGGCATTCACGCTTAGTTTACTTTAGATAATTTATAGGAGAGCTGTAATTTATTGTAAACTTAGAATGCCTCAACAGCTACTGAAGCTTTTAGTGCTAAAATTATCACACAACTGTCAATACTTTTAAATTTGAATTCTGCTATTCTTTCTATAAATTATTTGCATCTTTAATATCACATAAAAGTTGTCATAATAGAGAGGATGGATTTGGTTGACAAACCATGCATATAGGCACAGTATAAAAGAATACACTCCAATCGACAATTGAGTCAATATCAAGCTGGTCATTCCCTTACTGGATGCTTAGAGGTTTTCAGTTCTTTCAACCATCTCGAATACTGGTTCCAGCCAGCATTATGTTCTGCTTCTTATTGACTAAAAGAAAAAGCAATTAGAAATTGTCTCTTGACAACGCATTCGCACAATCACATATTCACAATTTTAACGCAGATTATTCAGGAGGTACAATTAGTCCCCGTCCCATGTATTTGAACTGGTTTTCAATCAAACGTCGTGGCAGGTAATTTTCCAGTTTCAGCCCTGCATCACAGTCCAGGAGTCACCCGCACGCCACACCGACCGGAGTTGTCATGCTGCAGCACGACGGCAGCACAGCAACAGAACAGCCCTCACGGTTGTTTAAAAATCCTCAAACAGCTTCCTTTCCGTGTCTCCCACGACGGGGGCGTTTTTCCAGTCCGCCTCGGGATACTCGTCGAAGTTGCGCGTGTCGCCGTCGTAGCTCACGCGAGGGACGATGGGCGGCTGTGGGACAGAGACTCGACGTTAATCTCTACCCTGGAGCTGGACATCAGAATCAGACAGCATCACTCGCGCTCCCCAACACTCACCTTGAGTTTTCTGTGGAAGACGTCCACCCAGTCGATACCTTTGAACCACCTGTGCCTCTTGACGTCCTCTGCGCCATTCTGGATAACATGCGTCGGAGAAGCTTTAGTCTTAGCTGGAAACCGCCAAAGTGAAGCCGGCGCGCGAAGTTCGTACCTTCATGTTGCCGAGACGCTTGGTCCTATCCTGGACCAGCAGCTTCTTGACGAGGTCCTTGGCCACCGGGTCCAGCTGCCGCGGCCACTCGATCTTGCCGGCGAGGATCTTTTCGTAGATCCCGAAGGGGTTGTCGTCAAAGAAAGGTGGGTAGCCGGCCAGCATCTCGTAGACTAGAACACCTGCAACGAGCAAAAGCGCCGCCAAGCGCGCCTGTCAGTGGCGAGAGCGCCCCGGCGGTAGGCAACCCTTTCCGCAGCTCGCCCACTCCTCCCTCCCACTCACCCAGCGCCCACCAGTCCACAGCCTTGTTGTGGCCCTTGGATTGGATGATTTCCGGGGCGAGGTACTCGGGCGTGCCGCACAGAGTCCACGTCCTGAAACGAGATACGGCGGGGCGAAAGGTAAGGCAGCGCCGCAGATGAAAATGAAACAAAAAGTCGAAAAAGGAAACTGGCGTTCCGGAGCCTCCGGGAACTTCACTCCACTCTGTCTAATGGAGGCCCCACCCCACAATGGTGACCCGTCGCACCCGCCGGGTCGCCCATTGTGAAGCCACCTTTACCGTGCTGACCGGCGGTATTACCTGTCGGTGAGTTTCTTGGCGAAGCCGAAGTCGGTAATTTTGAGATGTCCGTCCCTGTCCAGCAGAAGGTTCTCTGGTTTCAGGTCCCGGTACACGACGTTCTGCTGGTGCAGGTACTCCAGCGCCAGTACGATTTCAGCCGTGTAGAAGTTTCCTTTTAAGGACAACCCGAAATTTTCGATTTACTATGCAAACAGTTTTTGAGTCAATTTTTGCTGATTTTTGAATGCTGGTTTGTCACACTTACCCGTACTATTACTAAACCTCCCTGCGTTCCTGAGGTAACTGAAGAGCTCCCCTCCGCAGACGTAGTCGAAGAGCATATACAGGTAGCTCTGGTCATGCCAGTGCCACCGGCTGCAATCACACACACGACACACATGTGAGAATCATTGGCGTTCCCTGACGAAAGGTGATACAATTGCTCTCCCATGGGCGCAAGGGGTGTACTTTTGTAACATTTTTGTGTACGGTTTCCCTATTTGTCATTACTATTACTAACAGTTGTTTGTAGTAATTTTTAGTCAGTAAAGGGCGTGAAGGGATATCCCAGCGAGAGATGGTGTTTCGAATCGACGTCGACTTTGCCTCGATCGATGACGATCGACCATTTATCAATATCGCATTTCTCACTGGGATATAGACAAGAGAGCGATTGGAGAGCTCACGGTGAGATTACCGGAAGCGCCTTCTAGAGCGCTTTCTTAACCGCTCAAAAACAGGGTGAGGGGTGGTGGAAACGTTCTGAGAACGTTCTTCAAGTGAGCTCTCTAATCGCACCCTCGGTTCTTAAAGACTGCCGCGCCGGCTCAAATCACACCACTAGCGCCACTCTGCGCTGCGGCCGCTCGGCGCAACTCGGAGCGATTGGCAATCACAACACAACTGCTGCTGCCGCCGCCCGACGCCGCCGCCGTAGGCTGCAGTGTTGTGGTTGTGCTTGCGGAGCAAGACCAAGTCCTTCAACTTCAACTTCAATGAGGGTTAGGACGTAGCGCGTGGAAACATAACAAAGCGAGCATTTCTTCACCACCCAGAAAAGGTGTATCAACACAATAACTAATGGCAGTGCTGTGTGGAATTTATGGTATGATGCATCCAGTGTTTATGTTCCTCACGGACCCTCCCACACACGCTGCTGCGAAGACCTGATGGTGGATTTAGTCTCGTCTGACCCGTGGCCTCACGGTGAGGCGGCCTCCAGGGATGGAAACGGTAGTGAAATTATATTATTTCCTTTTTGGCTCCTGTTCAAAAGCTATGGGCCTTGATGAACTTTCGACACCGTGCCCCCAAAGGTTAAAAAAGGCTTTATCCCAGCCAAACGGAGTTGCCCACAATATTTGCTTTTCTGGGGAGATGTGTCCACTTTTTCGCAAGAAATTATTATAGGGTGCCGGTAATTTCTACTCTACCTATGCACGGTGTCGAAAGTTCATGAAGTCGCATAGCTTTTGAACAGGAGCCAAAAAGGCGATAATATGATTTCATTACCATTTCCATCCCTGGGCCTCACTAAGGCCGCAGGCCGCTGGTCTCAGTCAGTAGTTTTATTCAGCCAATCACAGTCCTCAAAACCTCTGAGGCCAGCGATCTCAGTGAGGCCGCCTCACCGTGAGGCCACACGGGTCACACGAGACTGAATCCACCATGAGACCTACGGACCTACCGCACTCCCCCGCCCTCCCTCCATTTTCCCTGATCTGTCACCAACTACGGGCACGACCCATATACATCGACTCGTGCACTCACAGGTTGACGATGAAGGGGTGCCTGATTTCTGCCAGGATGTTCTTCTCGTTCTTGACGTGCTCCACCTGCTTGAGCCTGATGACGTCGCCAATGGCCAGGATCTTCATGGCGCCGTACTCAAGCGTCGACTTGTCCCGGCAGAGGCAGACGCGCCCGAAGGTGCCGGTGCCTGCAACAAGTGAAATATGGTAAGTGTAAAGTAGCCCTCTCTCTTGTCTGAAAACTAGAGTACGGTGTAAAGCAGCCCCTCTTGCTAGAAAACTAGAGCACGCCGCTCCGCTCGGCCTGGCGGACGGAGCGCACAGGACGCACAGAATGACAGTTTTATCCCCCAAACGCCATGTCGCAAGACGCTCCCACGCCCCGCCCCCTCTTCCGCGGTTTTCGGCAGCCCCCC